ATGTGTTTTGTTGGTCACCTGTTTCTAAGTGATGGATGCTTATCCTGAGCTATGCTATCACAGTTTGGAGTTCAGCTTCATGTGTTTATTCCGAGCAGCTGGTGGTTTTCCCACACCATGACCATTCTAATGTCTGAGCTGTGAATGAAGCCATGTTTACTGGGAAAGGACACTCTGCTTTGCTTCTCAGAAGTAGTCCCAAGTGAGTTCTCAAGGCTGGATACACTTCCACAAGTAAACAGTGCCAGGACAAATTAGCACACTGCCTGTGTGACACAGTACAGCTGGGATGGCTGCCTGTCCCTGGGTCCTTCAGCCGGGCTAACATGAAGAGAAGTTTACAGAGACAGGAGGAAACAGATCCTTCACCTGTGGATGCTTTGAACTACCTGTGCCACAGAACCACCATGGGCATGACCCTTCTGCTCTCAGAATCACCTCCCACTTGAAGGAACTGTCCCACCTACAGGCTTTGTGTCAGAGAATACAACCCACCCTATTCCCACAGCACATTTGCCGAGGTGTTCAGAATTCCTCTTTCATACAATTTCAATGACCTGGAATCTAACATTACCTTTAAGACTCAACAGTAAAACTGCAGCACATCAGAACTGGGAATTTTTCTGGAGGTAAGAGGTGTTCAGAAGGACCCTGTGACCATTGATGCCCCCCAAATTTACTTTAAAAGATGGTATCTCCCACAGGCATCCGACCTCAGACACAGGTGCACTTTGCACTTACAGATTGTGTGCCCCAAGCCCTTAAGACTTCCCAAACACCAGTCCTGACTTCTGCCGACTGTTTCCTCAGTCTGGCCTGGAAACCTCACCAGCCAATCACGACTACATGAGTTATCTGCCAACACAACAGTTGGCATAACCAAAGCTTTGCCAGAGGGAAGAGTCAGGTGACACTCAGTGTTCTTTGATGGCTGAAGAACACACACACACATAGCAGATGCTGTCACTACTGATCTCAAATCATTCAGCTCCAGAACGGATACCACTGACTGAGAAAACCAGAATGGAACACAACATTCTTGCTCGACACCTAGGAACTGCAACTTCTCTTCGGAAAACAAAGCAATAGTATATGTTTTATATATTTTGCCACTGGTGTTTGAACTGCCCCTGCAACGGGGACAAAGAGATGACTGCTGTGTAAACTATGGGTGTGCTCTATTCTAATTAAATTTTATTTGTAAGAAGAAGAGCCAGGCTGGAGCTGACCCAAGGGCCTGGTTTGCTGACTCTGTTTCAGGTCAGCATAGCTAAAAAGCAGGCAGGTTCCTGACAGCAGGTGTTGGAGAGCGACAGTATGGCAGTGATTCTCCTGTGTTATCCTCTGGCTGTGTGAATATAGAATGTGGAATTCTTCAGTACTGAAGCTGAAGGCAGAATGTGACACATGTGGGTGCTCAGACTGTATCACCAAAGACACTCCAATCATGGTCAGGCTCAGGGACGCCTTGAAGCTATTTTGAGTTGTTTACCTTCTGTATTAAGGAGCTTCCCTGCAGGATGCAATGTTTCAGTCTCAGGAGAACTGCTGCATGGCAGTATGTGACATGGACAGACCTTAGGAGAAGATGGTGGCTCTTGAGCCAAACTTTGTGGAAGCACCATGTGTCCCCACTGTGCGGACCTTACAGGGAGTAGCTGAGCTCAGGATTCTTGTCTGACCAGGTTCCATGCCCCCTTTTCTGCCCTCAGCTGTTCTGTACCCAGAGGGGTCCTTGCTGATATAAGCTACATCATCAGATCTGAACCATGGTGCTAACCCTAGTCTGCATTTAAAGGCAGATCCCTCATAGTGGACCAAATGCACACAGCCAGTCATAGCAAATCAGAAAAACAATTCCTGAGGATTATAGACATCATGATTATGAAAATTTGCTTCAGAATTTAGAAAGCACTAACTGTTTGATACTAATCAGAGAAAACAGTCTGCCTTCAGTTCCATAAGTCAGCTTAAGCAGATTTGATCTTGAGACCCAGGAGTGCCTGGTTTGCAGGCATCGCCCTGAACTTGTGCATCCTCTTTAATCCTGTCAGGTTAGAAGATTCTAATTCCTATTCATATTTACTGTGTTAAGTTTCTTGGTTCCTCCCGCTCTCTTCATTCAAATAAAACTCTACCCAATGCATTCATTCTCTTGTTTTTCATGATGAAGATTCCATTTGATTCTTTTCATAATTCCCACTTTTTAGTAAGAATTTTCACCTTTATATTCTTTTCAGTGGTGTTTGCTCTTACTCGATGAAGCATGGTGTAATGACTGCTGAACAATTCAGCGAATAATCCCTAAGTCTGTGTCGTCTCTGTGTGGCATTTGCTGATCATCCTTTCTGTTGGGTTTTCGTTGAGATTCTCCTAGTTTTCTGGGTGGTTAAGAAGTTTAGTTGCATTTGGGACATTTTTTAAAGTAACTCAAGGAGTGATAAAATCCTCTGTAGGGGTTTTTGGTGGCTTATTTAAGCAGCAGCCAAACTATTCACTGCCTTTGCCTCTGTACTCACAGACTGTGTGTTCCACTTTCTCCTTGCTCCTTGGTTAAAGTCCAGGCTTTTCCTTTTTCTCAGTTGCATACTTGATTGCATGTCCCACTTCCTACCACAGTGGCCCATTTTTATAGTTTGCTACTTTACTTCAGTGAGAGAAACTATATCACAAAATAATTGTGTACAGTGTTCTTCAAAACATTGATAGCTTTACTATGGCAACCAAGATAAAGGGGTACAGCAGAGATAATAGGCATCATCTAGCTTGAGATTCTCACCCAGATGGCCCAGCTGGATGGCATGATACATCTAAGAATTATGAATGACACACAGATAAGTTTTTGCTTACATTTTGTATATATAATGGTTGATATAAACTCCCATCTCCTCCTCTCGAAGGCAAAGGCATTTCTGCATTTTTAATGTTATGAGTATATGGCTATTCAAGAGACTCAAGGCTATATATGAGACTCAAGCTAGTGTTGCTTAAGTCTTGGCAGTTCGGGAAACAGGGGCAACCTGACATGACTTGCTACTACGCCCTGTAATGCCAATTTAAATTTGCGGTTTGTTTTCTCTGTTCATGCTAATATTGCTTCACACTGTGCAAGATATTGCTGGGAAAAAATACACTAGTTTAGCACTAAGATACTAAAAAATGAATAAAAGATGTTCAAAGCTCATAAAATTCCTTTTAACTTAGAACATATGTATAGACGATGACAAGAGTATGTGTTGATTTATAGAGACAGTTTGGGAATATGATAGCTTTAAAAATATTTTTATTGGGCAGTTTCAGCTGCATTTCTGAAATGTATATTCAGATGCTTTTGAAATATTACAGGTGACAGATGTTCCAAAGTATGAGTCCAACTCAGTTTTCCATAGGACCTTTCCAGCGGTTTTCCTGTGCGAATTTCTTAGTCTTCCCTACTGTTTGTTTTGAATATTCTTCTCCACTGGGGGTAGGTTACTTCTCTGTCTGGAAAATATTTTTTTGAGCATGTAGCTTCTGGAAAGAGGCCTGTGGAATGGAAAGCAAAAGGTGGATACTGCTTATCTTGTCAAAATTGTCTGAAGTGACCAAGAAAAGACAAGTTCTGGGTTAACCTTCTTGCAGTTACAGCCCCTTCCTCTTGGAGCGCTTTTGGCTTCTAGATGTCCATTAAGTTGTTTACGTCCACTAATCAACTTGGGTTCATTCCACTCTGTACCATCAGAGTGCATTCCTCACATTTTGTGTTTCCATGGACAGCAGCTCCCCACTGCTGCCCACGAGTGCTAATGGTGACTCTGGGCTTCACAGAGGCTAGGCAAGTACTCCACTACAGATCTTTCTTTTCTCTTAGTACGTAGACTCTTGCTATACTTGATATACTGGTAAATTCAGACTATCACCATAACTACAAGGTCAGTTAAGCTCCCTTAGAGGCCCTTCCTTCAGGTTCTAGGAACCTGAGCAGTAACTGAGATCTGAGGGAACACGTTCTGTAGGTATCCAGGATGTCTTCTCTAGAAGGAAGACCTAAAAATAGCATGAGGCTCAGGTGCTTCTGCCATGACTGTAGCACCTGAGTGGGTTGCTCTGCTGTAATTGCCCTGTGACATTTATGTCACAGAGGTCTCCAGAGTTCTAAATTTGTGAACTTCCAGTATTCTACAAATACATTATATTTTTAATTAATAATATTTACTTTCTAGTCCTTTCTACCAGACTACTCTAATTTATAAGTAAGTCACTTCTATACCAACAGAAAGTTAATGTTGGCCTTGGTGGCCTCAACTGCCCAAACCTCTCCCAACATTGCATTAGTATTTACACACAAACTGATTCTCTTTTAGCAGCATTTGAGTTAGTGAGTAGAGTTGGTAGTCGTGTGGAGACACAGCTGTGGGGACTCCAACTAAGGGATGCTCCATTTCAATTGCCCTGTATGACGAGAGAGTGGCCAATTGCCCAGCCTGTTTCTGGCTGATTTGCAGCGTGTATCACACATCATTCGCGATGTAAACTTCATTGTTTAAGCTAAAGCCACTTGATATTTTATTCAAGAATACTCATCTCCAATTATACATTACGCTCTTGAGGGTAGAGACTGTCAGTTAAAATCTGTAATTATCCCTGATAAAGTCATTGAATGAAAAGATATTTTCAAAACAAAAAAGACTGCATAGTCAGCCGATGAGTGACTCAATGAATTTTAAAATTTTTGTTGAATAAAATCTAAAAGTGATTAAATTATGTTTTACTGAGGAAGTATTATATTTATTGATTGATTAATTCTGAAAATATTTATTGATTATTTGACACATTTTAGACACTTTTTAAGCATGAGACACATGAAAAAATGTTTCTGTCTGTGCTTATTTATGTAACCACATCCTTTTTTATAATTTAATTTAATTTTACATATCAGCCATGGATTCCCTTGTTCTCCCCCCCTCCCTCCCCCCTTCCTCCCAGCCCACCTCCCATTCCCATCTCCTCCATGGCAAAGACTCCCCTGAGGATTGAGTTCAACTTGGTAGATTCAGTCCAGGCAGGTCCAGTCCCCTCCTCCCAGGGTGAGCCAAGTGTCCCTGCATAAGCCCAGGTTCCAAACAGCCAGCACATGCACTGAGGACAGATCCCAGTCCCACTGCCTGGATGCCTCCCAAAGAGATCAAGCTAATCAACTGTCTCACTTATCCAGAGGGCCTGATCTAGTTGGGGGATCCTCAGCCATTGGTTCATATGGAGAATTATAGGAGAGTCCAGTACTGAGGCAGTTATCAGCAGTACAGGCACCCGGTCGTGGTAAGCCAGCATTTGATAGGCTGTTATTCACAGACTGCTAGTTGGGATAACATCATTCACCATGCAATGAAGTAACATTGAGATGTGAACATTGAACCACACTGCTATACAAATGATTCAGAATTACACAGATTACAGTGTGAGAAAGAACCCAGATGAGACATCACATCCAGAAGAAATACAAGACGAAGTACTAGTTGGGTAGAAAGGACTGTGTGCTTTCCTAGAGTCAGGCTTGGAGCAGGAACCATGGGAGAGAGGCAGTTTCAAGGATGGAGATGGCATCAGTCTCACTACCCTGTTGGCCTCATATGTGCTGACCTGCATTAAAATGGCAAATTGTACACTCCAGACACATGGAATTTATTTCCTGTCAGTACCACCTCAATATGCTTGCTAAAAATACAACAAGACATGCTTTACAGAGTTGGTAACTATCTGTGGAAATGGACACAGATGTTGGAAAAAGAATAATGAGGGACTCACACATCATGCATAACAGAGTTCTGTTTTGGTAAGAACAGACTCTTGTCTTCATGAAGACAAAGCTGGAGACTTTATTGACAGTATGGATTGTTTATTAATCATCCTGTTGTCTACAGGGTGCTTTTAGCCAGACTTAGTGTTCCACTGCCTAAGTGTGGTCTGACGTGGGACTCTGCTTTCAAGGCGAGTGCTGCCTGTTTTCCACCATATTTAATATTGATTGTAAACTTGGTCTGGTGGACCAATGCTAGTAAGCCCCCCAAACAGGAAACTTCTTATGTTGATTTTCTGCCTCTTCTCTTACATCCAAACAAGCTTTCAAAACCCAGTTGTAAAGTGTGTTATCTGAGGAGGCTAACTCCTCAGACTTGCTGAGAGATGTTATATGAGAAAGCAATTCTGTTCAAATTTAATTGAAAGACACACTTCACATAAGTTTTCTTTGTTTTGGTTTATACTTTTACTGAACATCTTCCAAAGGTCAACAATGTATAATCTACCCCATTTTGCATCACGTATTTGGTCACCAAACATGTCCTGCTTTGACCTTCTTGTAGGAGTACTAATCACCACGTACTGCACTGAGGCTCTCGGGGCCGTGAGAATGTGAGGACTGCAGAACTGCAGAACTGTAAGGAAGACCATCAAACAAGAGGACAGAAGTGTCGCCAGCTGCCGGGCTAGTTCACATTTCTATCTACATCATGCTGGGAGCTGTAAAGCTCTCTCTTTAAGAGTTGTATTCGGGGGAGTTTTTTCATTCATTTCACAGGTTCTCCATGAGCATGTATTCTGCATCAGGTCTGTTAAAGGGTGTGATCCAGGGCACCTCTCTAGGAGATGAGTAATTTCAGATGGCCGAAAGTGCTGTGAAGAAGACAAAACACAGAAGAGGAGGGTGGATGTTGACTGAAAATGCCCACTAAGCTTTGAGGGACATCAACACCGTCATAGAGCAGAAGCCACAAGTCCTAAAGTCCTGATTACCTTTGAACCCAGTGCCAGGAGCTTTCTAGAGTTAATATGGCTGCTATATGCCTGACAAGAAGTCTATAGTATGCCTAGTTCTCAGGACAGCATGGAGACATCTTAGGGACAGAGAAACTGCCAAAGTCTATCCTACCCCAAGGTTGAGTAAGCACAGTACCTTCCCCTAACCTGGGGCCCTACTGACACCCACGACATCAGCTCAAAAGGTTGTGGACTTATGAGTCCATCTACTTTCATAATTTCCAGTATCCAAACCCAGTCACTACATTGCATTCCTGATAGAGTCCGGGTAACACCTGTATAGTTTAGCAGGGAAGGGCACCTCAAGGCCAGGAGACCTGAATTCTTTGTCCCCGGGGGCCCAGAGACCTATTTCCCAGATTCCCCTAATGCTTGTATCAACACTACTGTCACCTGCATCATTGTGCTCATTGCAACTGGTACTTTGTCCAGTTTAAGGATATACCTTCCAATAAACAAATCTCAGGTGCCACTGTGACCACCGCCTGAGGCTCTGCCACAGTCAGCAGTTAGCATTCTTCCCTTGGCACCTAAGGTAATAATACAACCATGGCAGCACACACTTACTGTAAAGCTGTCCCCTCTACTTTCACAAGTACCAGAAGTCTGGGTTATTGGAGCAGCAGAAACCACTGCTGTTTTGTAGAAACACAGAAGTATCATGGAGATCACATTTGTGTCCATTCAGAAGCACGGAGGAGGTGGCTGCTACATCAGCTCTGCAGACGTTCAGCGAGGACACAAAAAGCATGAACAAGCACGGAATCACAACACTGCTGATGGCACAATGTTACGTTGAAGACACAGACACCAACGTGATGAAAATTCATGAAGTGTTTGAAATAAAAACTGATTCTAGTGGACCTGGACAGATGCAAGAGAATACAAAAGGGTACGATGTGAGGAGAGCAATCACTGACCAGAGTACAAATGTCAACAGATTTAAAAATCACTAAAAATCATCAAGTGCAAATATTGGAGCTTGTGGGCACAATGGATGAAGCAGAAAAGTCCATCAGAAAGACTTATCTACAAACCGAACAAAGTCTAAGGGTGAGTTTCTAAGCTGACAGTATAACTTTTGATGCAAGTCAGAAGTTTATTAATGAAGAAGGAACTAAGAAGTAAAAAATTCCTATGAGACTGGTAGGGAACCAGTAAATGATTTTCTTTTGTATTATGGGTTCTATAAAAAGGAAAAGACAGAAAACTTCCTGTCCCCACAAAAAAATAAAGGCCAGGCGGTGGTGGTGCATGCCTTTAATACCAGCTTGCGGGGGCGGGGGGCAGGCAGAAGCAGGCGGATCTCTGTGAGTTCGAGACCAGCCTGGTCTACAGAGTGAGTTCCAGGATAGCCAGGAAACACACAGCCTGTCTCAAACAAAAACAAAAAAACAAAACAAAAGGAATGTGCTGTAATAGGAAGTGAAAGGATGGTAACAACCATCATGAAAGGATGAAAAATAGTAAATCTTACGGGAAACACAGGTTGCATATGCAGAAAAGGACAAATAACCAGTGAAACAACCATAATCACCCCCCAAACCCCAAATAAACAAGCAAACAAAAATATCAAATCACAAAGATGGGTACCAAGAGAGATTTAATGGAACAAAGACTTTACAAAAACAAACAGAAAGATTAATAACATGAAGAGACAAAATTCCTATAATGATGTCCATGAATTTAAACATTTAATTCCATAAGCTGAAAATGTATTGGAAAAATGCGTTGAAATGAAGCGAATGAGAGTCACTGTGTGCTGTCTGCAGCAAACTCACCTCTCTGGTACAGGGGCGCAAAGATCAAAGATGAAGAGAGGGATAAAGATCCTCCAAGCGAACAGAGGCCTAAAGTGAGCAGGAGAAACTTCTATCAGATAAAATAGACGTCAGGTTAAAACCTTGTCAAAGGATGTCATTCAGTAGTGGCAGAGGGCTCAATTCAGCAAAAAGGCTATAAACACTTGTAAGTACCTATGTGCCCGGTCCCAAGTCGTACAAACGTATAGAGCAAATGTTACCTGTTGACAGACCTAAAGGGAGCGATGGGTGCTCATGCAATGTCAAGTGAGAGTATCAATATTCATGTTCAGCAATAGATCATTCAGTTATAAATCAATAAAAAACATACGGGTGTTTACAGAATGCTTTGGTCCATCCATGGTTTCATAATGTATGTCCTCATCAGTGCCTGAGATGTTTCTCAAGATAGACCTGTGTAATGTCACAGCCAGTAAATTTTTAATAATTAAAAATATATCATGCAACTCTTCTTATTATGTAGGATAAAACTGTAAGTTAATAGGAGCAACAATGAAAATTATACAAATATATGAAAATTAAATAATATTTCCTTGAACAACCAATAGGTTAATGGAGAAATTAAAAGAGGATTCACAGAATTCTAAAAGTAAATGAAGATGAACGCATCTTACCAAAACATATGAAATAAGAAAAAGCAGATATAAGAGTGAATGTGGAATAAACAACATTTATATCATCAAAGGAGAAGTGTACTCTATACACACATAACTTCCATAGCTCATTCATTAGAAAGATGGGTTACAAAATCTTTATGGTGTAAGAGCCAATTAGAGACCAAAATCACACAGCACTCACTTGGGCTCTGAGGTGGCTTCCTGGGCTTGCTGCTGTGTTTTGGGAGAAGCCGCTTTCAGTCCTGCTTCTGGGATCTCTGTTGCTGTTCAGCCCTCTCCCTTCATGGCCATCGGAGTCCAGTATGACTGCATCTTGTCCTCTGAGGTGTTTCTTTTCTTCAGTGTCAGGGCCTTGGCTTCTGCCTATTTCCCTTCCTGCCACTCCTGTATGACTGCTTTTCTCCTGAATTGGAAATGGTGACTTTATTGCCCTTGCCCATAATTGTTCCCAAAATGTCTGCCACACAATAGGCATTTAATAAATTATGACAACATGAGTGGACACAGCAATCATTTCCAGTATTGATAATGGCACATGATGTTCTTGTGAACAAAACCTGAGGGCCACATTTCATGGTGAATAGCAGATGGAGAATGAGTAGTTGGAGACACTCTAAAAAAATAGTTGGTAAGTGGTGCAGTAACTCCTAGTGTTGTTGGAATGTCATAGTAATGGTCTTTAGGAAGTCTGGCCCATGGAATGGGGTGAAGGCACGAAGGACAGAGGGCTAGCGTAGTTCAGATCTTGAGAACAACCACACCACAACACAACTCACATCACAGCACAACCCACACCAGGGCACAACCCACAACACAACCCACATCACAATACAACCCACAACACAACTCACACCACAGACAACACACAACACAACACAACACAGCATATACCATGGCACAATCCATACAGCTGTGAGGTAATGGGCTAAAACCAGAAATATCTGTGAGGATTTGACCTTGGGAAGGTCCTGGACCATGGCTGCAGAGTGGCACAGGGAGGGATGCACAGCTCCTCTCTCATTCCATGCCAAAACCCAACTCTTGTGTGGCAACTTCCTGCTGGCCATCATCTTCCGCTTCCTGGGTGTGCTCCCATATCCTGCTCAGCGGCCTGTGAGCTGCCTGAGGAATACCATGCCTCACGGTTTGGAATGGTCACATTAATAGTTATCATATGTGACTTCAAATTATTTTTATCTTGGAAAGGAAAATTTTGACCAAGAAATCATTACATATTTATTTTAACATTTCGTGAGTAGAAACACATTTTCTTTGTTGTATTTTTCCCTTCAGCATTTTGGAAAAGTTAAGAGGAAAAGGGATTTGGAAGGCATAAAAGGGAGAGGGTTTTTTTTGTTTTTTTGTTTTTTTTTTTTTGGCTTTGAATATGTTGGGAGTATTAAACTTTCAACTCTTTTGGAATCTTATCAGAAATATCATCCTGAGTCTTCAACCCTGCGATTGTCACCATGATGGAGCTCAGCCTTTCCTGTGATGAATTGTGTACTTGTGTTCCTGAGGAATTCCTGCCTGTGCTCCCATAAATTTCAAAATCAAGCCATCCTTTGGGATCTTCATGAAAAATAGCAGCAGCGGAAACAGGCCACGTGACCAGCCTGGTGCTTTCTCATTGATCACAGTCCTCCAGCGTCTTAGCTCACTTGCTCAGCATCTGTGTTATGGAAGAATTCATGATCCCTTTTTTTTTTTTTTTTTTTTTAAGAAAGTGAAACTGAAGCTAGGAAAAAAAAATAACCTAAAATGCACCAAGACCTCAACACTTTATCCCACAAGCCCCTTCTATGGTGGAAAGCGAGGTGACAGACGTGTGGAGCAAAACAAGGGAGAGCCAGTCTGACCTGGACCAGGGAGTTACATGAGCAGAGCAAAGGAAAGATGGACTCCAAGATGCTCCTGAACCGCGGCCTGTGGGGTAGGGTGAAGCCGTGAAGGACACAGGGCCTAAAAACAATCAAGCCTCCTTCATGCAACTGTCTCTCCAGTAGTTCCTACGGAAAGAAAGCCTGATTCTCCTCAGCATGGGCTGGAATCTGCAAACTCCTTTCTCTCACACTTCCCTGTACACAGGAGAAGCCTCATTTTGACATTCAGCTTTACAGCTTCCTTAATGTCTCATGCAAAGTAAAGCATGAAACCCTGGCTACGGAGAACAACAGTCTTCCCTTGTGACCACTTTCTTTCCAGCTTCATTTCCTGTTCATCTTTCCTTCCTCATTCCACTGCATCCTTACTTAGCTCTGAAAAGATTTAAAACCTGTTTTCATTTCAGGACTTGTAAGTCTAACCCCCGGGTAACAGGACAGTAACTGGACCCATGTGCTTGTTTTTATTTCTTTGTACCTCATGCTAAGCTTCTTTACTTTGGAATTCAGCAGAGTGATTTTCTTTATTCCTAATTCTTGGAGCCACAGGGTGTAGAAGGGGTAGATGACCAGGAAAAAAAAATGTATATTGATTGTCTTCTGTTATTGATGACCTAAATAATAATTAATGCACAATTTGATTAAAAAATATCTTAAATGGGGGCTAGAGAGATGGCTCAGAGGTTAAGAGCATTGGCAGCTCTTCCAGAGGTCCTGAGTTCAATTCCCAGCCACCACATGGGGCTCACAGCCATCTATAATAGGATCTGATGCCCTCTTCTGGCATGCAGATGTACGTGCAGATGGAGCACTACATACATAAAATAAATAAACCTTAAAAAATTATAAAAAAAATCTTAAATGCTCATTATAAAATGAAATACATCAAGATAGCTATTGAATAAAAATAATGAATTCTATTTTGCAGCAATGGCTGTATGTAGCAGGCCTCCTCAGAGTAAGGAGACTGGGAAAGGCTGAGGCCTCTGTTGTGTGCAAGTCTCCAGGTGACTCTCAGGAGCCCTGTGACCACCCTCATATGATGTTTCCTTCAGAGGGCAAACTGGCTCCATCCTGTCTGTCCCCTGTCCTTTCCTGTGTGCTCAGCCTTGAGTTAGGAACCAACACTTAGGAGCAGGAGAACAACTGAGCTACTCTGTTCCTGGTTGCTGCGTTGTAGACATTTATTGGCTTTCCAGTGTAGGGATCTTTCCAATTGTCAGGAATAGTCCTGACAATCACTGCAAGCTGCCTTGGAGAAAACAGAGACACCGAGCTCAGAAGAGGAATGATGAAAGGCGTCAAGTGTGATGGTCAGCTGAGTCTAGGGGAATTTGGAAGTCAGGAAAAGGATACCTCATTCTTCAATGTTTGAGGAAGCATCTTATTTCCAATATTTGGAAGATAAAGAGAAAAGAATGTTTATCCCAGTGAATAACCTCTAATACGAGATAAGGTCTGTGCCTGGCTTTCTGGATCAGGGAAGTCTCATTGTTGAAAGACAGAAGGAGAGAAATGTGTTCATGGCCTGTTGGTTGGAATTATTTGTACTTATCTCAGTACTGGGAGCCTCTGTGGAGAGGTTTTGAATAGGTTTGGAGTGCTGTGCAATTAGAGGAATCATCTAAATGTTCTTATAACATCCATGGCTGATTTTTAAATATCACCTTGCTCAACACTGCCAAACCTTCACAGTTTCTTCTGTTCTTCACGCTGTCACCTGTTTTCAGTGCATGTGTGTGAGACCACTTTCAGGTTCCTCATGGCTTTACCCAGCAGGTCTGCATAGAGAAGATGATTAGACCACAGGCCTGAGTGCAGGTGTCTGAGATGGTCTGCACTTGGCTGTGCTGGGGGGAGGTCTTTTGCTCCACCCCTTAGCATTTCTATAAATACCCTGGGGCAAAGACAGTCGGGGCCCGTTGGGATAGGTTCCAGGCCCTCTTGAAACTATCCTGTATTTTCTATCTATTTATGTCCACACTCTAAATCCTTCTATCTAATATTTCCTGCTGCTCTCACTCAAGAGCACTCTGGGGAAATGTGAGGATGGTGGGTAGCCGCCCTACACTTGTGAACCATGGGATGACATGCATCTTACCTTTTGGACTCAGGAAAATGTAGCTATGCCTGTAGCCTGGCCCACAGCAGACTCATGGAATGGCCCACCTCCTAGCATTTGTTATCCCTGGATTCTGTTATTTTGCTCCAGAGAAACAGCTCTTTGGGTATAGTGATATGACTCTTAGTATTTTTACTGCGAAAATGAGCAATATCTTGAATTTATTTTTGCAGTAAGACAAATACGATCTAGAAAATAACTTTATGCTGATGAGATACATTAAAAATCTTATTTGTAATGCAATATTTTCAGAATGCTGCAATGTTGGGAAGATTAAATAAAGGTCAGAACCTTACACACACACACACACACACACACACACACATCCTCATTTTTTGATGATCCATTACAAACAAAAATCAAAAATTTCTCACAATTCTTTCAAGAGCAAAATTAATAGCCATCTCTCTAAATGTGTTTTTAATAAATTATCCAGGGCCCTGGAAACTACAGAAGATTCAAACAAAGTTCCTCACACTGTCATTGTTTTGTATGGAAGCCAGCCCTAGGAACTCAGAGAGAGGGTGGCAGGCAGATACATATGTTTACACAGCCACTCCACGAAGAGTTCGGGTTTGGAAGGGACTTGAACGCCAGCTCTGCGGTGGAAATTCTTGCTCCATATTCCTTTATTAGGGACAACAGGAAGGATCGTTTGCATTCCATGTGTGTCCCATTTCCCAGAAAGTGCCTTTCCTTTGTTTGTTTTTCATGGAATGTTACTTTTCCAAGGTGCTGTGGGAGCAGGCGCATGGAAAAGGCGGACTCCAGTGGGATTCAAGAGCAGCAGCACCAGCTGGCTTGGAAGCTTTGCTGCCTCCCTTCCTTCCAGTCTTCCATGAGAGACAGCTGCTGCTTTCTGCCCCACTTTCTCCTCATCCCTCACATCATTTGATTCCTCCTGCCAACATTCTAATATTTAATGAATTTATTAATCACTTAGAAGTTTCGAGGAGACAGTTTCCACTCTTTATAGACTCCTTGAGCTACCCACTTCTTTGGTGCATCTAAAGAGAAATGTTTTCAGCACATAAGCCAATGATAGTGACTGTTGTCTTGAAGTATGCTGTTCCCAGCTCTTTAAGGTCCGAGGTTCCCACATCAGCTAACTCAGTGTGGTGTGGCATGAAGAGAAACTGTACTGTGTTCCTGAAATGTTGGGCAGACTCTGGAATTAGGTAGATGTTACTGTTTGATAAACTGACAACTTCATGTGCACTGTGATCAATTCTGAATGGTATGGAATTAGACATATTAGTAACTTCCTAGATGAAGTTGTCTTTGTAAGGTGTCTATGTCCAGATTTTATTGCAGAGCTCACCAAGCTGGAAACTGGTTATGGCAGATGCACATATTTCCAAACATTGGAAGTGCTTCCAGCATTTGAAGAGATGTCTG